TCCTCAAGGGCTCGAAGAGCATTACGAGTCACCGGACGGCGGTCAACCCGGTCGTCACCGCCCGCCACCGACCCCTCTCGATGAGAACGGTGACGTCCACTATCACGTGGAACGTCTAGTAAGACGACGTCGTCACCAGGATCAGACCCAAAATCTGGTGAAGTGGCGAAGATTCCGACTCCGAAAACTCGCGGAACTTTGAGGCACCACTTCGGCAAGATTGCCCAGTCGCCGTGGACGCTTTTGATCGGAAATATTAGGACGTTCCGCGTCATCAGACGCCCCGCGCTTTCCAACAATAGCCAGGAAAGTAGACACGCCCTGAGCTGAGCTCAGCAGTGGCTCTGAGCTCTTGCGGTCGAAGACGCAGAGCTCGCGAGAGCGATATGGGCTGACCCATATGTCGCAGGGCGACAATCTGGAGGAAGTCGACGGCGTGCCTTCACTTTGGCAAACTCAAAGCGGAAGTGTCGCTCCACACGCACGTCTACTTCCTTGTGGCTTAACTGCAGGTTATGCAGTGAGGAAAGTTTTCGTTGCCGTCGCACTCGTCGCTCAAAAAGCTCTTCGTCATTTGTAGTGTTTTCGCCAGCGGCGAGCACTCCAGGTATTGTCCGCATTGCGGGTACAGGAGAATCATCTCGTTGAGCACTCAGATGAATGCAATAAGCTTCCAACGGAATTTCTTGCGGGACCAAGAAACGAGCTCGAAGAGCTTTCCGTGTGGCAAGTTCATCATCCGTTTTGGCCGGGAGCTCGATGATGTGGACGCGTAACGATCAAGTTACCGCGTCTTACGCTTCCACAGCGGGATCCGCTGGGCGGAAGCCATATTCCACACGAGGGTCAATGACCGACCTTGGATTGGCTTGTTTAGAGTCGCCTTATGGGCAGCTTCAAGCTGTCGCATCTGTTCCCCGTCGAGGTCATTGATGATTATAACACGTTCCTCAGTTGACGAGAAGTCAGGGAACGGACGGACATAGGGTCCGCAAGGCGCGAGTATCAAGCTGCTGGTACAGCTTGCCTTCCTCGTCATCCCATCAGGAAAAGGGCGGTTCGGTCCTAGTGAATGATGGGTTCTCTTGATTACAACAAGTTGCTCATGTTAGCTTGTATTCGCTCGGAATTTACTATGCGATGAATTTACATGAATTAAAAAAGTTCGTGGTATGGAGAAAAATGTTTGTGGATGGCATTTACATGCTCTTACTTCCAAAGAAGCTGTCACAATGCTCCTTTGAGACTGTCCTCCTTTCACTGATAATCCAGTATTTAACGAAGCACGCCAGTCAGAAAACGCTTCCCCGCGACGCGCATATTTACTCCAATGTAGTTCACGAAATTTCATCTGACTGCGATGAAGCTTCAATCTCCATCGATTGTGCTATCAACAAACTCGCAGTGATCATGAAAGAATTTTTGCACACATCAGCTGACGCTTATAATTGCCGCACTGCGATAGGCCGAACACCTTTCTCTCTCTATCGTCAACGAAACATGAAATAAATTCTATATGCTACTTCTAAAGCTGCGAGCGCTTCCTCATATTTCCGCACCTCTCTTCATTTAATTGCCAAACTATTCCTGCTCTTCATGTTTCGATGCCACCTGCAAGTCTGTGGTGACAGGCCAATCATCTATGGCCGGTTCCAGTATAAGCTTCTGGGCGACAAAAAGACTTGCGTCGCGGTTGTTCCAATAAATGACATGTGCCGTTAATGCGAATAAATACTCGTTTGCAATCTCAATTTCATTCTCTTGCAATGAATAGTCAATGGGACGTCCTTGGCATAGATGACCAAATAATGCAGTGCTCTTTGCGATCTCATCGCCTTCTCGTTCTTCTCGTTGTGAATCTTCCTCCATTTTGTCTGAACGCTGCTGCAATTCGTATGGTTGCGAAACACCGGCAAGCACATCGAAAAGTGGCGTAATTGACGCAGAATTTTCCACAAGCCCAACGCTGTGAGCCTCAGCGAGCACTTTACGCTCAAAATCGCGACGCCATTGACGCAACGAAGCCCACGTGGCCCGAAACGTATTGCGCAGCTGGTACTGAAAGCGCAATTTGCCTTCAAACGTGCGAATGATTGCAGCCTTCGAGTGAGCGCGCAAAGGATTAATAATTGGTTCAATACGGTAAGCTACGGGGTCGTATGGATGGTAGATATTAAATAAGCGACGACAGCGCGGAAGTCGAAAATCGCAACCAATCTTCTGCCCCCGCACATTCAAAAACAGGCCAATAGGTGACCCGAAGCAGAATAGATTTTCCACATCAAACGCAAGTTTTGGCACTACCGGTACGGTAGCACTGGTTCCGGTTGAAGCAGCATCTTTCCTATCTTTCATCTTTTGACCTCGGAGCGTGTTTCGAGCCTTTTTCTTGCCGATGAAATAGGTATCAGGTGCCCGTAGAAGGCTCCTTCGAGCCGACTTTTGTACGTGTGGCTGCTGTCTGGATGCATATTTGTGACGTTTGCAACTAAATTCTGTCCACTTTTCATTCAAATCTGACATTTCCGACATTGAGTGCGAACGCTGAATCAGTTGTTGATTTACAACGACGCGGTCTAAGCCAATTATGTTATCGGTAGCCGCGACACTTTCCTCTGCTTCACTATCGTTGTCACTACAAATGCTAGTGTTCTCGTCGAGTACAACGTCTTCTTCCTCACTACCGTCTTCGACATCAGTGCGCAATGGAATTTCCTGTCGATGAATGTACTCGTGCTGGTGATTAAGGATATCAAAGCAAATTATTGATCCAAGCGAGTGAGCAATAATCGACACTTTTTTGCGCTTGGCTCGACTTGGGTCCGTCCAGTCTGGATGACGTGACTGAAACAGATTGAACACGCGGTTCATTTCTTTGGCCACTTCGTTTAGAATGACTTGATGAAAAAGCGGTGACATGAAGAATAGTACGTCCAATATGGTGTCGTTGGCCAGCTCACGAAGCTTTGGAATGGCTGGCAGCGTCACATCGCGAATAAGTCGGTCTAGACCCTCCATGTGTAGCTTTGAATGCCACTCAATGGGCAGAAACTCGACACATCGACGGCCCGGGATCGTCTTACTATTGTCTGTACTGTCACCTTTGAAACTTTTGTTGTTGTGATGAGCGAAATGCGCCGAGCGGAGTGCCTCAAGATTTAACTCGCGAAGTGTTGTCGAGCAGTCTATAATAGAGCGCAGTGTCACAACATTTATCAGATCGAGCGTCTTGAGCGCATCGCCAATGCCATGAATGACTAGTACAAGGTGCTCAATCTCATCGTTGATGTCATTATCACCGTCAGATACCTTTAGCGAATTTCCAGTAACTGGATTGCATTCCATGGCGTCTTTCCATAGCTGGAGCGCAATTGGATCAGCACGAACACGTGGATTTCCACGATATACACGGCGCTTACTCGTAAACGATGTAGACCCTGCAAGTAAGCGCTTGTGCTGCACAATGTCCTGTGAACCTTTGAACTCCACCAAGTGACCTTCTATGGGAATACTTAGAGTGCAATCCTTGTCAACTCGCGCGGCCAGAACTGTCTCGCTAAGACAATTACGTGAGCTGAATATTCCACGCGGCCTTTGTGCTTCAAGCGTCATCAAACGTTGCTTTTCAGATGGGTACAGGGCCAAAAAATAAACAAATGCGCTTTCCAAATCACTTGCTGCCTCCTCACTATACGGTGCTAAGCCATAGCTACGCTGAGCATAGACCCAATAAGAACGACAAACAACAATTTCCTCAAGTGCCGGCCAGTACACTGGTTTCATTCGCATAATTTCTAGATCGACCTCATGTCGTCCTTCATCCACCAAGACGATGCTGGAAGGTCTTTCAGTTCCCAAAATCTTGCTCTTTATTCCCTGATACCAACGATACTTGCGCTCTAGCCGACGACTTTCGTGAGCAGGAAATTCGATCCAACCACGTGATTTATTAGTACCTGGTAAGGTGGCATGAACATAAGGATTTTTTTCTTGATCACCTGATTCCTTCTCCTGTGACGTACATTGAAACCGTCCATTTAATCCACTTGGCAGCACTTGACCATTTCCGCTCGTGACATCCATTTTCTTGTAAAACCAAATGGGAAAAGCATTAGCATCCTGATCTGCCAACTCAGTTTTTAAAGTTTGATTCGCTGCTATTTGTTGCGAAGTGAGCGGTACACCCCCAGCGCTCGGGTACTCGCGCAATAGATCCAAATACAGCATTTCATTCTGCAGCTTCATCGTTGCCAGAAACTCAAATAATTTAAAATGCGACACAATAATGCGCATTCTTTGATACACTGACCTGATCACTTCACTGCGTCTAGAAGGTCCTAGTGACTCGTAAGGACCTCGTCCTAAGATGTTCCACTGCATTATGCTTAAGTGCTGATCCAGAACTTCTGTAGCTGAGTACAAATGCTCTACAAGCGCTTGCACACGCGTTGTGCTTCCCTCAAGAAACAAATCCGTTCTATCTTCGATTTCCGCTCTTGATGGAAACACAATGTGACCTGGAAAAATCACGACGTATCGGACCACACTTTCCGCAGCTCCTAATGGTGGCAGCACCAAATGCCTTAAAAAGAAATTGCGTCGCATAGTGTTTTTGGCTACAAAATAAAGTTCGGGCAGCTCCTCGCTCATTACGAATTGCGCAAGACCCTCAATGCCACAAAGAAAGGGTATAGCAACTTGGGTCTGTAGCGGGGTCAGTGGACCTGGCAGTCGCGTGGTTTCAATTGTCAATTTCATACGGTAGAAAAGCCGCTGGCTGGAACGGGTGCATGCTAAGCGCAGATCTACAACAAGTTCTTGCGTCTGAGTAACAGCATCAACGACGCAGTCTCGCGTGGCACCTGCTGCGCGCTTGGCTAGGTCAGGCGCGCGACGGACGAGATTGCTGGAAATTTGACCACATAGGGCAAGAAGGAATGGAAACGGTGTGAAGGCCGACAGCGTGCTCCAAACGAAGCCCGGAGACGAACCGTCATGACGCTGCGCCATATCACGCTGAGCGTCACGCACCATCTCCGCCAGATGGTACATGAGCCACTACTGCTGTGGAAGGAGCGGAGCAGTAAGTGCTGTTTTAATGCTGAAATGTCATGCTTTTAACGTTTTTAGTGAAAGAGGGAACAGAACATCATTCGGTTTGACCCTATAACCACTCAACTTCAATAAAAGTGGTCTTTTGACACAAAAGATACCACATAGTTACGCTGACAATTTTGATAGTGATCAAATAAACCTATACAGTCTCGCAATTTTCGAAATACATTGGCTAACGACGTGCGAAGATATATTATGGTACTCGTTCACATTACATCTTTCTTCGGACTTAAAAGCGAATATGGAGGTATCATTGGTACCGATGGTGAAAATATATATGATTTATTTTGGTTGTAAATGAACCATTTTGATTGAGAGGACCTCAGTTTGGCACCACTGGTAACCCAACTTTTTACGTCGAGTCGTGCGAGGTGCATCGCAGCCCCGTTGCATCTGGTAGCTCTTGTCGTCAATTAAATGACCAAGTATAAGAAGACTATGTTTGTAACGAAGAATAAACCGTGCTCTGGTGTACGTACATATTAAACTTTTTGCATTTGTGCAAATCTCAGATGTACGAAAGTATTGGTACTGATACTCCGAGAAGCTTGAGGCTAATGCGTGCAACCCTAAATGGAGCGAATCTTTCTAAGAGGCAAATCCCACGGTCCGGGGTGTTGGTTGTTAACATTTAAGACTCGGGATTCGTGAATGCGAGGGAAATCCTGATAAATTTGAAAGCGTCGTGTAAATACGTACAACGCACGACTGTAAAGACCAGTAAATCAATTGCGTAGAAATTGAAAATATGTCAAATGCCGGTACAATATTCGTGCATCTTGTGACGGGTGCAATGGTAAAGTGTAAGGGGGTCACACGTATCCTTGTATGAAAGCGGGTCGCGCAAAAAGGTGTGACCGTACATAGGTGTGGTTACACAAATTGATAACACAGTGGTGTGGCTACACTGTAACAAGAAGTCACCACGTGGCAGGATTGCTAGTAGTATTGCATGTTAATCTATTAATTAGGGTTTTACTATTTGAACTATTTTTACTTAGTTGAAAAACCTAGGGATTTAGATATTTGCGGCTCTGCCGCAACTAAAACAATTAAACACAGTTTCAATTTTGAATGGGAGAGTATCTCTTCCTTGGATAAGGTTTCTAAGTACTGTTGGAGGTAGCGTATTGCGATCCGCTGCACTCGTACTGGTTCTTTTAAGGTCAGTGGCCTTAGCTTAGTTTCCTCTAAGCAAAGAGCTAATGTAGCCCCGCTGCAATTGGTAGCACTCGTAGCCAATCTACACCAGAGTCGTTACGACTGATCCTCTTTGATAATGGAGGAATAACCCTATTTGCCCCAGGGCGTGCAGTACGGGCACAATAAGCTGAAGTCCCTGATTGGCCCTGAGGGCGTGGAGCACCTTGTTGTGCAAGGGCCCGAGGCGATAAGCGCGCGCCTGGATTCGTTTTAAATTATGAAAATGCTCTGTTAGAGCACTTTCAGCAGCAGCTGTCAGCGTCGACGACGGATAATTCAGGCCGCTCATGGTGAGCGTTAAGTTCTTCGAGGATAAGCATGAAGATAATCTCTTTGCTCTGGCTGAGAGAGCACGAGCGTCCGTCTTGCACCAAAACGAGCAACAGCGCGTGTCGCTAGCTATCTCCGAGCTTGGAGGCCGAGCGCGAGAATGGGCACTAACGGGCGGTGCCTTGGTTGAAGCTGCGTTCCCCTTTTGGAAGGAGCTGGAGCGTCGGCTTTTGCGAGTGTTCTCACCGCCTTATCAGGCATATCGCATGTGATCGCGTTTCCCTGTTACCCGACAGGGCAAGAAAGAATTGGTGGGCTTTGTCCAAGAGTTGAGAACTCTTATTGCCGGAGTGGCAGCAATCATCTCCCCGAGGCGGTCACAGTGACCGTCTTTATGGAGGGCCTTCGCACTGGCGT